AAAGGAATTTCTTCAGAGCAATAGTCGAAACGGTACTCCTCTATGGTTCCTCTGCCTGGACCCTCACAAAATCTCTGGAACAAAAACTCAATGGTACATACACGAGAATGTTACGAGCCATTTTGAATAAACCGTGGCAACAACACCCGACAAACAAAGAGCTGTACGAAAACATCCCACTAATACCAACTACCATCAAAGACCAAAGGATGAGATTCACAGGGCACTGCCGGAGAAGCAAAAACGAACTAGTTAGCGAACTCCTACTATGGACACCCAGTCATGGCCAAGCAAGAGCTGGACGGCCAAAGAAAACACACACAACAACTTTTACAAGACGCGGATCTACAACAAGTTGATGATCTCAAAACGGCAATGAGTGACAGGAACGTCTGGAGAAACCGAGTCAATTTCATGATCCGGGCAACTCGCCAGACCTGATGATACACACACACACACATATATATATATATGTGTGTGTGTGTGTGTGTGTGTGTGTGTGTGTGTATAGATAGATAGATATAGAGAGAGAAAGAGAGAGAGAGAAGGAGAAAGAGAGAGAGAGTAATCATGAGTTTGAACCTTGCAAAAGCCACAACGACTCTCTTAAAGTTGCAACAGACCGCTGCACACACCTGAGGCTCACTAAGACGCAGCTCAGCTCCGCAACACAAACCATCATCTTGCATTTATATCTATCATCTATATCTTACATCGATATCTTACAAGTAAATCTTACATTTATATCACACGTATCCTCGACACGCACGCCATTAGACTCGGGCACCTATTGCATCGCTGCATTTAAATCACCTTACAAAAAAGGAGAGATTTTCCCATTACTCCCAACGTAATTTATCATTTACAGTCGTAGATGTTGCTCACCGGGTTTGCATTCTGTATCACTTGCAACAAAGGGATGCAACTAACCGAGGGTTTTCAACGGGGTGGATATTGCATTCAATTGCAAAGTCCTTCCGATGTGACATGGAGAAGGAGGTGTCTGGTCGTAAATGTGAGTCGAAATGCATGAAATCGGCTCATTTCATTTTGCGTTGTTCGTTTTTATTGAAGCGAGAGAAGGGGGATTATTTAGTCATTCTTCTCGTCTCTCTTTTTTATTTTCTCTCTCTATTTCTCTATCAGTTTATGTGGTTATCTGTCTATCTATCTACTTGTCTCTATCTTTGTGTGAGACTGTATGTGTGTGTGTCTGTATACGTGTGTAAGTGTGCATGTGTGTGTATGTGTATGTGTGTACTGTGAGTAAGTGTGTGGCAGTTCATGTGTAAGTGTATGTGTGTGTGTGTAGTGAGGGAAAGTGTGTGACTGCATGTGTATGACAGTGCATGTGTGTGTGTCATTCTTAATGCGTGACTCAATCATCCGTTTCACAGCAAGAGTAGAAACGCACAGAGCAATTCAGACCCACAGAAGGAAAGTCGCATCTGTACAAAAAAGAAGCGTGAAGGACAATTCTGGAGGAACTCATCTCCTGCCTGCCTCTTAGCCGTTGACTTTTGATGAGTTTTTTTGGGCAAAGTCTAATTCTAGATCTAAATCGATGTGTGAGTTTTAATCTGATTTTATATGGATAATGCGAAAAGGGGAAGGGGGAAAGGAAATGATTCAAATAATGTAATTTTAGATTAAAATGTTGTTCTGAATGCATGTGTTTTTGGTAATATTCTCTCTCTCTCTCTCTCTCTCTCTCTCTCTCTCTCTCTCTCTCTCTCTCTCTTTCTCTCTCTCTCTCTCTCTTTCTCTCTCTCTCTCTCTCTCTCTCTCTCTCTCTCTCTCTCTCTCTCTCTCTCTCTCTATCTATCTATCTATCTATCTATCTATCTCTCTGGTTCTCTATCTATCTATTTATCTCTATCTTTTTCATTCTCTCTCAATCCTGTCTCCCTCTTGCTTTTCTCTATCCTCCTCCTCCTCCATTTTAATTTTTCATCTCCTGGCAAGCATAGCATCAGAATGTCACCGACGCCTTAATTATGAAAACGAAGTCAATTATCAACTTTAATTTCTTAAATTTCATGTGTGTCTTTCCTTTCCTCTCCCTTTTTTCTTTGTCTTTTTGTACTATATTTTCAATGTTTTTTCTCCCCTGTTTCTGATATCCATTATTCTTTTTTTTTCTCTCTCTCCTTTTTTCCCTCCTTTCTCTCCTTTTTCCTCCCTTTTCGTCTTTTTTTCTATTACTTTTTTTTCCTGTTTCTAATATCTAACATTCCTTTTCCCTTTCTCTTTCTTTCTTTCTTTCTTTCTTTCTCTCTTTCCTTCTGCCCATAAAGCCTCTTTTGCAAGTAAATAAAAGAAATATTAGCTCTTCCTGGAATGATTTAAGATCTTTTTGGGGGGGATTACGGGCCTAAAATATATGAGTTATTGTAATGATATTTAGCAATTAAGTTCCTATAATTCAGTAAGATATTTTGCATGTCAATTGCTTTTTTTTATTTTTTTTATTCAAGAGGTTACTGTTGTTGTTTTTTCATTGTTGTTATTTTCGATATTATCATTATCATTTTTTTCATTACTGTAATTATAATTGTGTTCATTATTATTGTCATTATCATTATTTCTAGTGCTTTTATTATTGTACTAATGTTACCATTATCATTTTTACTATTAGCATTAGTAGTAACAGTATTAGTAGTACTGTAACAATAATGATTAATAATAGTAATGATGATCATGATCATGATATTGATAATAATGATAGAAATAATAATAATAATGATAATAATACTAATAATAATACTAATAATAATACTAATGATAATAGCGATAATAATAATAATAATAATAATAATAATAATAATAATGATAATAATAGCGATAATAATAAAAATAATGATAATGATAATAGCAGTGATTATAATAGTAATAATGATAATAACAATAACAATAATGATAATAATAACAATAATAATGATAACAATAATAGTAGTAATAATAATAGTAATAATAATAATGATAATAATAATAATAACAATGATAATAATAGCAATAATAATAATAATAATAATAATAATAATAATAATAATAATAATAATAATGATAATAGAAATTATAATAATAAAGATAATATTAATAATAATGATAATAATGATGATGATGGTGATAATAATAATGACAATAATAATGATAAAAGTAATGTTAATGATAATGATATTGATAACTTTAATAAGTATCATTATCATTATTGTTATCATTACTATCACCTTTATTATTATTTTCATCCGTGTCGTTGTTGTTACTATTATTATCGTTAATATTATACTTTTTATGATAATAGTAATGAAAATGATTACTATAATTATTATCATTATTAATATTAATTATTGTTATTATTGTTATTATTATTACTATTAATTATTGTTATTATTGTTATTATTATTACTATCATTATTATTATCATATGCTATTAGTCTTATTGTTATTATTGTTATTATTATTATTACTATTATTATTATTATTATTACTTTTTTTCATTATTATCATTGTTATTATCGTTATTATCGTTATTATTGTTATTATTATTATGATTATTATTATTATTATTATTATTATTATTATTGTTATTATTATTATTATTATTATTATTATTATAATCATTACTATTATTATCAACATTACCATTATTGCCATTATTACCATTATCATTATTATTGTTAATATTACCATCATTATTATCATTAGATAGTAGTAATCATAATTATGATTCCTATTATCACTACAGATAAATAGGCTTTTACATCTATACCTTATTCTCTCTGATACTTATTGCCCAACAAAATTTCTTTGCCATTGACATATTTTTTTTTACTTTCAAATTTTACTAAGAAGATCAACGTAAAACGTCCCTCTATGAAAAAAAAAATAAATAAATGCCGATAACACAGATTCTATTAATAATTTGATAACATTAGTATTGCTATGATGTTCTGTGGCATCTGATTTGCGTTTTTGAATTATGGCTATTCTATTATCTCTATCTCTCGACTCGAAAAATGACTTCGTTAATCTCTAATTATACGGGATAAACATAAGCTATAATCTTTAACATTTCACAGGCGCTGTAACGAAAGTTTTCATTCATTAAAAGGCTTATTTACGTGATGAAAATGGGTTACGTGAGTTGACGGAAGTGTGGAAGTGAGGGAGGGGGGGGTGGGGTGAAGAGGGGGTAGGTAGGGGTGGATGGGGAATGGGGTGGGGGAAGAGGAGAGGGGGGGTAGAGTCAGGATAAGGTAGGCGAGGGGTGGTGGGGTAGGGGTTTGTGGGGAAAGGGGGGAGGGGGAAGGGAGGGGGAGGGGGAAAGCGTTGGGGAAGGGATGTGGGAGGGGGGGAGGGGGGGAGGGGGAAAGCGTTGGGGAAGGGATGTGGGAGGGGGGGAGGTGGGGGGAAAGCGT